AATATTTATACAATTCACAGGATGCAAAAGCATATATAATATTCTAAAAAATAAATTATAGATTATTTTAGATACATGGATCATACACTACTAATATTAATGATAAACTCACTGACACAAATCTTACTAAAGGTGAATAACATCCACCCAAAATTACAGCACAACATGGAACAAGAATAAGATAATAAAATAAATTTCCTTGACATTACAATCCAAAGAACCAGAAATAACCTAATACATAGTATCTACCAAAAAGCAACATCAACAGACATAATAATACATAACACCTTATGTTGCCCTATACAACACAAAATGTCAGCAATTAACTACACGATTAACAGACTTCATATACCCCCATGAAAAAGATTGAAAGAAACACAGAGATGAACACAATAAGACACACTGTACAACATAGACAGTACCAAATAAACAACCCCTTAAAACAAAAATTAAACAAAGGTAATAAAACACACTAACGCAACAAAACCAAGGTAAATGGGCCACGCTTACATACTTTGGAAAAGCTACACACAGTACAACAGAACATACCAAATGTATCAACAAAACATGTGCATAGGAATAAAGTAACAATAGCAAGATAATCTAAAAGTAACCTAAAATAAAATATTTTAGAAGCATTTTATATCAGAATGAAAAATAGAAGAGGGTGACAATGGAGCAGCAGGTTCATTTAATCCAACATCTTATACAGCTTATGTTGGCCAGTCAAGCCAAAACATGTAGTGCTGTATAATGTGAAGAGATGCATGTGGAGTATGTCACAATATATTGACAAAGTTGCACAAAGATGGCGAGGATTAACAACACGAAGTTAGAATATACACTGCAACAGTATGATGCAGTATAATCATATTACCTTCCTCCAACTGTAAACACTGGCCATGGGATGGGGAACAGCAAAGACAGCTGAGAGTGACTGCATAAGCACTACCTAATGATGGTCAAAAAAAGTTGCCAAAACATGTCATAATTGTAGAAACTATATAGTTATCCTAGAATTATACATATATTGTGTGACGAACTGAATCAAACATTCTATGCTAAAATCCAGTATTACTTTAAAATCTGACATTTATTGCACAATGTCATTAAATTTATATACAGGGAAGTTTTATTTCCTCTGCTGGAAGCCAGAGAATTACACACCCATGTAAAACAAGAGTCCTTGGAATTTGGAAAATTCTTACTGATTTACATTACACTTTCTAAACTGCACAGATTATAGCATGAGAATGGAAGAATAATTGTGAATTATGAACTGGGAGGTTTGGAAGGAAGTGACCATGATTATTTTATGAATCTATTTGAGTATCTGCCTAAAAAAGCTAAAGAAATAGCCTATGTCAAGATATGCAGTCTCTGGGCATACATTTGGACCCAGGACCTGATTATGAAAGAGTGACAACTATTCAATTAAGTTGAATGCTAAACATTCACAGGCTTAGCAGGGCTGAGCTTTTTTCTTTACACAGTTCTTCAGGCATAAGGGAAACTTCCTCTGCAACTACTTCTGTTACTGCCTACACGGAGGAATATTCTGATATGTGATTGGTTCTGCAACATGCTGCAGCTATTCATATATGGAATTTCAGAATAACTCATATATAGCAAATGAAAATTATGCAATTCAAATTTCATGTTCTTCAAACAGAACATTATACAGCTTCACAGTCACAAATTAGCATATCCCACCTTATGTTCCAGTATCACAAACATATAAAAAAAATGGAGTTATACATCCCAAAGAAGAGGAGGTCAAAAAGCAAAATACAATACTGAATAATCATCTATGGGCATACATGTGTAGGTCTCTGAATCAGGGTACATCATGTTTTTTAAACATAAAACTACTTCCACTGTACAACTGTCTTGTATAACATAAAACACAAAATTAAACAAAACGAGAATCACTGATAATGCCAATATTGAAATATATGATAAGGAACTGACAGTGACATCAGTGCTACAAGAGTATTAAACAGTACTTCCCAATGGGTATATTTTTAGTAATCCATTTTTTTGGATGGGTTACTTTACAATACTTTAGGTACCATGAAGTTGTAGAATGTCAGATGAATGATGAATTGGAAAGGACCTTGAACAGAGTGGGTGCAGCCTAATTGGGGTGCTATCCCAGCCCTTGCTTGCTAAGGTAAAAAGGTAAAGTTGTCCCTGTGCTCAACAAATTAAGCACTATACCATGAAGGTGTATGGGGGAGTGGATGTATAGATCCACATTTTCTTGACCTCAGTGCTAGCTGCAGGTGAGTGGTCAGCTTAAGGCCCCGGCCGCTTTACCCCCCGGGAAAGAGCCCCCAGTACTCATTGAATAGGAGGCTGGGTGGACCCCAGAGCCGGTCTGAACAATTAGGAGAAGAGAAAATTCTTGACCCTGCCATGACTCCAACTCCAACCTCTCAGTCGTCCATCCCATAACCAGTCGCTATACCGACTACACTACCCCAGCTCTAGCATTTTCTTTGAGGGGCTGAAAAATCACACTAAACCTCAATCGTGATAGCTGGTGTCCCAGGTGAAATTTGACCAAAGTACCTCCAAATAGAAGCTTAGAGTATTAGTACTTGACCAACCTGTTTGGCAGTCATGCATTTCTGGGGGGTGCGGTGGGGGAAGAGAGCTTTACTAATATGACCTTCTCAACTCATCACTGCTCAGTGCTAACAGGCCTGCATATCACATACTTATGTACTCAGAATGGCAGTAGTGTTTATACTTTGAATACACAATTTCTATTACATATATTCTTTAGATGAAAATATGAATTACTAACCACGGTGTCTCTAGTTAAGCATCCCAATATTTTTTCACTGAGAACATTTTCTAACTCACTGAATGGTACTTAGCACACATCTTGCTACTTCTATCTCACCGAGCGCTTTTACAGCTGAATGGAACAATGGCAATATATGTCATGAACTGTGAGTGATCCTCACTGCATTTGCGTATGCTCAATGCAGACTGAGTTGGCTGGGAACGTAAAATTGCTTTCTAACATGATACACCATCACAGGCCTGCCCTGATGCTGTTTACTCATTCCAAGATAGAACAACATTTTATTATAAACTTTTACTTCTGCTGTGGAGTGAGAGGTTATCTCAGGACTCTAATGAACTAGGCTTGTGCAAGAATAGCTTTCTTTCAGTTTGAAACAGAATCAGAAAAAATTTCAAATTTGTGGTAAGAAAATAGTACTGGGATGGGATTTCTCCAAATGTCTCAGTTTTCCTTCCCAAAGCTTATTCCACCAACTACTCCACATTCATTAATAACCCCATTATCGACGCTGTAGTCTTATTACTGATGAATGAATGTATAAGGGGTGGGCCTTCTTGGCCCTTGCACCACGACCACAGTGATCTATTGTGCCTACCTGTTACTGATAGTGTCATTAAGGGGGGAAGGCAAGAATTTTCTCTACTAGACCAATATTCTTACTGTAATAAATTTTTTTAACAGTAAGCATTTTTCCAGAATACAATGAAGTATACTCCTAATTACTTGTGATGTAACATCTCTTCTTACAATAACAAAATCATACATATATCTCCAGTAAAAAAAAATCATTTTCAAGACCAGAGAGAGAGAGAGAGAGAGAGAGAGAGATGGGGAAAAAAAAATTTGTGGTGGTGGTGGGGGGAAGTTGATTGCTTCTAGCATTAACAACCTGTATGATTCTGATGGCCTGGGTAGTTCGTGTGTCACTGTGCAAAGCAAAAGCAGTGATCAAAAACTTCTCAAAGTTCAAGTCTAAAGAAAGAGTTCAAATCAAGATTGAGGTTTTTTTCTATAAATCTGATTAAAGAAGGTTTGAGACTTGCACATGCCTACAATAAACTACGCACTTCATTTCCTGAGTTGTCTTCATGGCCTTCAATAGCAGCAGGAAGCAGTCAACTGTCCTCTCAAAAGTAACATCTGGCAGGAAGTTTAGACGTAAGTGACTTGGAAGAAATTTTTATTAGATTTGAACAGTAACAATGAACAGTCTATTGATGATTATGCACTAACTGACACAATCGTGAATGATGATGATCAACAGAGAGTAGTGTCACTGACAATGATTTTGAGTAACATATGTCGAATTACAGAGGTCAGATGAAAATTTTCATTAAAAAGATGTGGGCCTCAGTATAGCAAAGGACACAAATAACAATTCAGAAATCTCAAATTATTTTTATAAAATGTTTACATGGAAGACACAGTAACCAAGATCATTATGCAGAACAATAAATAAAATAATGGGGGAGGGGAAGACCTTCACTGTGCTTGGAACCAAGTATCAGGCAATGAAATTTATGTTGCTCTTTGCATGTTTATGCTAATGAAGATGTCTGTCTCTGTTCTGAGGGCATCAAGTACTATCTCACCATGCTGAATTATTAGGTACTGTGAATCACAGATTCATATTCTGCAGATTGCAAGGCTTGCCTACAAAATGTGATTAAACAGTAGACATTACAGTCATTTTAGTCCATGCACTCAATTTCTGGTGAATTCAAGGACCCCACTCCTTCATCCTCAAGTTCTTTAATTGCATTTAAACCCTCTGATGGCAAGCAGTTAACTGTAAAACATAAGAGAGTGAAGCTTAAAATCTTTAACCATTTTCAGCCCTATAAATGACCCTATACACAAGCGCAAATAGAGTTTTACTGTACTCCTACACCTTATAGTTCACCACGAAAGCACAACTAGTGTGACATACCTAAGTTAGACAATACTCCAGGCGCTCAGATATTATCCCTACCATATTTATCTTCAGAAGATAAAAATAGGCTATCATATGGTATATGAACAGGTTATGTTACAGGGAGAATAATTCTCATCTCATATCTTAAACTCGTGCTGGATAAATTTCACTCGACACTTCTTATTCTTCTTTACCTCCAAACTCTTCACACTTCTGTGACCATGTGTACAACTAGAGTCTGAGGACTGGCAAAAATACAATATTTACTTTTTCTTCAGCGTGAAGAAGCTCCTACGTTTCGGTTCATCCTTGCGGTCACCAGAAGCTGGGAGCGTCTGGGAACGTGAAGGACCAGCCGACCCCTGGAGGTCACACTGTACACTTATACGTTGTACCCATGCATTCATCTCGTCATCATCACGTGCCTGGAACAGGTACTCTGCCCCATTTGCCAGCCTGCAGCATGAAAACAGAAGTTTATGGTGTGATAGGGAGACTGGTTGGTTCTATGGGATTAGAAGTAAAAGGAGACTGAGCAAAACTGCATGGTGAGGAGGTCTACAATACCCACAAGGGTGTGCAAAAGTACAAATAGGGTTATCCAACAAATGAGGACGAGATGCAACATGCAAAATTCACTTGGAAGTTGAAAAATGCATATAAAAGTTGAGTCAGAAAATCTGAAGGGAAGAGACCACTTGTAAACTGATATGAGTTTATGGACTGGATTCAACTAGCTCAGAAAATGACTCAATGGTGGGCTCTTGTGAATGTGAGTAAGGAACTTTGGGGTTTTATAGAAGATGACAGAAGTTCCAGACTAGCTGAGCAAAAGATTCTCAATAAGGACTTTGCTCTACAAAGTTAGAAGCATATGTTGTTCCCTCTAGATTACACAGAAATGGCGTTCTCTAACTAATAAATCTTTCCTCAGGACTTCAAAACTAAATGAAACACAAAACCTGAATATGCAAAGTTTTACATGCAGCAAACAGGGTGGGGGGGGCATGCACAAAAATAAATTAATTTTCCAGGATATCATCACACACAGAATCTATTCTTCCTAACAGCATTTCGCTTTATTACTCATTCACATTACAATATTTTCCAGTTTCTCTTGTAGGGCATAAACTATTCTGATGTCCTGGACTCACTTGATCCTGAAGACATGTTTCTTCTTTGTGTAGTCATCAGCTACCTTGGTAGATCCCCCACGTAGATCAACAGGACTCTCCCCTTTAAAGTAGCCCTCTGGAGCTGCCTTGTAGCTTTTCTGGTCTTTGTAGAACATGAGTAAACTACCTCGCAGCACTACATAGAGCTTGTCCCATGATCTGTGTATACAAGCCATACAAATTTAAATCACAGACAATGAACTTGAGGGAAAGTAAAAACATAAAGACAATTAAAAAATAATGTAGCACTGAAGGGGGGGGGGAGAGGCTAATATAAACAACACTCACTTCCCTCACTTGTACCAACCTGGTACCCATGGTCTTTTAAGCAATGATAATACAGTGATATGTTTCATGTGGATGCCCTGCTGACACAATGTAGCAAATGATGTGATCCTATTATTGTGGTAAGAGATTGTGAAAAGAAGTAGAATTTGTGAACAAGAGTTCAGTTCAGTGGTAACTGTTTGAATCACAGGATTCACAAACTGGTGCAAACATTGAAAGAAGCATTTGGACGTGTTGCTGCAGAAGCATGTTCTGCTCTGGGTGGCTATGTGAAGTTGGGGTTAAGGAGGAGATCAATCAGCATTTCCAGGACAGCAAAAGAATAAGCAGTGCTGAAAATGTATCTCAAATGATCATCAACCATGGAAAGAAGTGCTGCAAGAATGGTTTACAGCCAAACTGAAAATATTCAATTATGATGGAAACTTCTTAGAATTACATCAAATGCACTAAAATGTGGGACAATTAATAATACTACTATCATTCTTTCATCAGACCTTATTATAAAGTTACCCTTCATTTTTACCTTCATGAAATTATGGCAATGTGTTCCAAGTGACACAATTTTATTCTGAAGACATACAGAATTTCAACAGGCTGGCAGTATATCAGATGTGGGCCGTCAGGGCCTGGGAAGAATTTCTATCCTATAAACCCAAGAAACTCCAAGCACCCCAATAATATACATACAGCATATTAATATTATTGCTTTATCACTCCTAAAACACATTCACAAAATCTATATAAAAAGTTAAAAATATGTCTCCTATGAAATTTAATATATTATCAATTTTACTAGTCCCTATGTCATACTTTAAATGGTACACAGCACAGAGTCACAGAAGTTCATCTTCCAAAACCTTCAATAAAGTCTTTACAAATAAAATTTTTATTCACCAGCCATTTAAATATCCTCCCAGCCAGTCTTGTAGTATCCTTCAAACCAATATTTATACAGCTGTCAGCAGTCTCTGTTAACTCACCCATGTCAAATGTGCAGGTATATTCCTGGAGCTGCACTTTAACTTACCGATTTGATGCTTTCTTTGTGGTAGACTCCCACTCATGCTTTCGGACCAGGTTGCCCTCATACTGGTCCTCTTCTGCACCAGGGCTTGGTCGTTCTGCAGAACACATCACAAGCTAATATTGTCAATACGTTACTGGAAGTGACAGTGACACAAGCCAGTCATAAGAAATACTTATGTGATAGGCAACACCCATAATTTCTTAGAAACTTCAGCACACCTTCACAAAAAAGCTATGGCAACAGACATTTTTAGGTCACTATTAAGAAAACCAGACAACTGAGGCAAAAGAGAGGTCACTGTTCCTATCAAATATCAACTTCAATAACAATTGAGGTAGTGGTCATGGTAATATATATACCAATGATTATGGTGATGAACGGAATAAGGGAAAAAGGAGAGTGGTGGTGAGAATGTCTAACATACTGATCTACAGCCATATTCCTTCTGATGATAACTGTATAAAGAACATAAGATTAATGCCAACATGACTGCAACTGGACACTGACAAGTTCCATGTTTGGTTCTGGTCACAAGAAAATGGTAGCACCACCAGGTAGGTTGCTTCTGAACCTACAGCTCAACCAAATTAAAAAAAAAAAAAACCCAGCACAATCACAACAAGAAATACAGTATAGAGCAGTCATAAATTACAAACAACCACTTCCGCTGACAGCCATATCTGAATGAAGGAGAAAAGTTGCTTCTGGATAAATAAAGGACCCATTTTTTTAACATACATCCACAGAAGTTCTCGAGTGTCTCCAAGGGCATATACTACCATCTGTTGCTTTCTCTGAAATTTAACATTATGCCAAAGACAATCTCGATTACTACAGAGCAATATAAAATGCACACACTAACACACATCTACAACTGTAGTATTATGTTCCGACTAGAATACTACTACAATCACATATAATTCCACACTTATGCAAGTCCAAGGCATGCAAATCCACTTATATTCATATACATCCAACAGTAACTTGCATGTGGGAAAACTTTTACAGAGTTTCATAACACTGCTATGCCTGGCTGGAGTTATAAATTCTGGTGAATATGAAAACAAAATGTCAGGGGACAAACAAACACATACAAAAGTAAGAGGCTTTCCAAGACACTGTCTTTCAATTTCAAAATCTCTGCCAGATTAAAATTAAATTTAGCATGGGACTACCTTACTAGTACTTATTATGAATTCTGGAAAATTGTGAACTTTACATTTAGATGTAAATGAATGTTTCATGTTAACATTTAAAACTCATAAGAAAATGTTTCAAACAAACCTTGTCATTGTTAACATTTTGTTGTGTGCGTCTCTTTTTGCGTAACGGGCCATTTTTAAGAAGTTTATAATAAATTTTATTATGTACTTAAATGGTTACATAGTCATTAAAGTATGCATCTTTCCACTTAATGTATGACACATTCTGAAAGCATCTTAATTTTCATTATTAGAACCATATTTCTGAGATGTGAGAGTTAAAAATTCCTTCTTCATTTACTATCACAAGAAGAGAAGAAAGTTACTATCAGGAGTTACTTCTAATCATAAACATAACTTTTAGGTTGCATGCACTATTAGTGCAGTTTCTCTTACTAATAACTTAGAGCAGATTCCTTGGTAAGCTTGATTGTGTTACTTTGTTGGCTTTAGCTGTTTGCATGTTTCCAGCATGTTACTATTGTGTCACAAAAATGTCTCATTATTTCTTATAAGTTCTTATGCTGTTTGAATGCACAGATGTTGACAAGTCAAGTGTTCTTACATCAAGGGACAAATTTAAGACTATGTTTTAATATATGCTATCTGTTTTCCTTTCATTAAATCCTTCAACCCAGCCATAATTTATTTCAGTCCATCTTCATGGACTAAGTGACATTACTTACTGTATTACTACTGTGCGATTGGTGGACTACACTATTTATGGTATTGCTACTTCCATTTTGTCGGACTATGTTACTTCCTCCTATCCAACACCTCACCTGCAGCCCGTTCCAAATTTGCTTCATCATCACTGTGTGCCCCAGCACCCGTAGTTGGACTTTTAGATCCCTTCTTCCATCGGAAGCTCCGGAATGGAGATTTGGAGCGGGCACGGTCCTTCTTGCGATCCAGAGAAGCCACTCCCGACTCCTTAGTGCTAAGCCGGGGAGCTGTTGAATTTTCAAAGTGTAGCAAGGGATGATCGAATCATGCCATACAAACCCCATGGTACAACCACTGCCTGATACAGTAATCCTTTTCAGCGTCAGCATAGTACGAAAATTACCTATTAAATCCCCATTTGCATTCACAAAACAAATGTCTGTGACAGCACAGAATTTGAATAAATTCTTATTGTGAGATAAAAGGAGCATTCAGATCATGTACCATTCATGTGACAAAGAATAATGTAGTCATGGTGTGGTTGTTCCACAACAGACTGGGCATGACTAAATGTCATACTTACAGTTGCGACAGTTTTGAGAGAGAGATCCATCATTAGAATTAGGCAAACCAAAAGATGTACATGCAAAGCAAGCTATTACAAGTGGGGGGGGGGAACAAACTAGTAACTGTCGCATGCAAATAAAATGTCATCATAATTGATACAGGAAGCTAAATTAATACAAACTGTGTCTGCATAATGATCCACCTTAAGTACAGTGGGTAACATAAAAATTATGCCATATTCAAATAATAATAAAAAGGGGAGAGGAACAATTACCTCAAGACAATCACATAAATATTAACTCACAGATTCATTAGTCTAAATTAGAACTTTTGGTCTTCTTGTATACCATTTTTCTAACCCAGCATAATGTGCTGCAGTCAAGTCCATTTTTCTGACTCCATTTTCATCATACTTGTTCAGATATTTTTTTAACCAGTGTTCTTATAACATTTCATACAGTTAACCTTTCCTCCTGGATTCAATTACAATTTATCTCTGAACAACAAAACCATAACGATACTGCACGAGATTGTGACAACACAGTGCAATCATAGAGTTCTGCATGTGTTGGCTGTTGGTACTACTAATTCTGTCAGTAGGCATATCTACCAGCAATGGTGTTGGGATGTTATGAGTGAACTATAAGAATGCGGAACCCTCAGTATTGCTAAATTATTACAAATTCCAGAAAGGTGACTTCTGGTGATGATGGGTCTACGGTTATGAACCTAAGCTAAGCAGAAATCATCACACATGGAAATCTACTTCCTGGCCTTGACTGAAAAATGCATGTGAAGTGCATAGCAAGAGCAACGTGATGTTTAGTCTTCTTCAATTACAAGGGTTATCATGCACTATGAGAAGGCTCCATTGACTCCTGACTAACATTCATAAAGTGTTGAGAAATGTCTCTGTGATGCAATATCATAAATATCTACAGAAGTGGCAAATTAACCCTGACAATACACCTGCACCAACTAACCCAGCTTGTGAAGCAATTTTCATCTCAACACAGTACTCCATAAGTCAGACAGCCTCTCTACTATCTATGACTCTTCGTAACTTCTTACTGTTACCTAAACTTAAAAACAACTCCAAAGGCAAAGATTTCATGTTGGCAAAAATGAATACGACCTCATAGCAAACCTTTGGTGACTCAAAAACTGCGTTTCAGAGGTACTTCCTGCACTGCCAAGAGAGGTGGAATCAGTGTGAAAAGAGGCTACTATTAACGTATTTTCTTTCCCATTACAAGTACCACGTACGGTGCCTAAGGCTTCATGGATTCAGTCTCAATATCGTCTAATCATGCCTCATACATCTTACCACAGAAAACTAATTCCATAAATTTCTTCATACATTGCAACAAACCAACCAATTTGATAATACCACATATAAGAACATGGCAGAATAGATCACCCACAATTTTCAACTTTTAGAGGCAGAGAAAATGAATGTGACTGGAACATATGGACCACAGACTACAGATCAGTGTGTAGACACAGTTTCCCCAAGTGTTGGCAATATGTGTTACTTACTAGATGCTGCTGAGGAAGGTGGTGTCTGGCTTGCTGCTGTGGAACTGAGCTGTGAGGATGAACGTTCATGAACTCCCTGCACCGGTTGTGCATCAGCAATCTCTTCAGCAACCGGCAAACTGAGACTGGGTACATGCACTGGCAGGCAGAACAACAAATCTCATGCAGCAATAAAACATGCAAATCATGCACGATGCCTACTCAGACCATGCTGTTCCTCGGCTCAAAATATTTATTTTTTTAAAAGCAGTTCATGTTTTGTAGTCTATTCTAACATGGTCAAAAGAAGGGTCAGAACTCTTATAAAAGACTAATTTATCAGATTTTAGTTGTACTGTGATTTCATGCCTCCAAAGATGGCCTTTGATCATCCCGGCCTCAGCTGACTGGACTCTCCATTTTAGGTTTAGGACAGATTTACTAATGGAACCGAGGATAATTTGGAAAGTGGGGGCTATAACATGAATTATATATATATAACTGGTATCAGGGGTCATGCAACTGGAACTATCTCCATATAGTGCAGGGGTCTAGAATGGAAGTTTTATTTTAATGCACAAGGTGAATCTCTGATTTACCTTCACTAGCAGATTTGCTCATTATTTTCTTTCATGGTGGAAACAAACACTGTCAGTCACAAACTAACCACTTGATAATGCACTTCACCACTCACAAATCACAGGTCATCTGTTAACATCATTAATTACCTTAATTTCTCATTTCTTCCACATGTTCCACCCTTTAACCTCCTTTATTTTACCACCCCAATAATATCAGGTGCACAGTAAGAATTATGAGGCCCACATTATGCACTTTTCTAGGGCAAGAACTTGTCTGCATCAGACAAGTTAACAACCCACCCTCATCCTCTTCACTTTCATCACAAAATGAAATACAAGCCATGTACATTATACTATACACTGGTCCTTGCTATAATGAGATTCTCAGAGTTCATATCATGAGAATTATGAAAAAAAATCTCTCAATATGTGCAAGGGCATTAGCCAGCTTTTGGGGCCTAAAATAAATCTGAAATTAAATGTGACCTTTCAAAAGAGTCCAGACAACAGCCAACTGATGGAATCCAAAATTAAGATACATTTAAAATAGTGCTTCTCATAGGAGTTCAAGATAACACCCAACTTTAGGGGTCCAAAATACTCAATCAGTACTGTACTAAATTCTGTGATTTAAAGGACTACATAGGAAGGTTCCAAGCATATGTTCACAACAGAATTATAATGCATATTACTGTGATGCAAAAACCTGCTTACCTTCATTGCACTTACCTTGAGTCGCAAGCACACGATGAAGCACAACTACATTGCCTATTAGCTATAAGGTAAAGTGGGTTAGTTACTGAGCACAGAAAAAAAAATGTATTAATATCATTCTGCTGCAAGACAGCGCTCCTAAAGGTGCAAAGAAAATGGAAAATGAAGTAAATATATTACATTACAGCAGAGCCTCTTTTATCAAACTTAAATCATTACAAGATATTTCCAATGCATTTTATCTTTTAAATTCTTAATGCTTCAATAATCTGGTTGCATCTGTCAATGTGAGGCCAAAGTATGAAACGTTATGTATTCACAAAATGGTGAATACCTGCACATAATCTACCAGCATTCATAAAACATGTTTGTTTGTGCATGTGCACATGTGTGTGGTTGGGGGTGGGTAAGTTACTGTCATTTAGAAGCTTATAACGTGAATACTATTTTGCAACACAAAACCTCCTTAAAATGTCTAAATATATGCAAGTATAATTAGAAATAACAAACTTCATATCAGAAGACTGTGTTGCCACTCATTCTGGCATGCTACTTCCTTTCTACAGACTGCAGCAGATTTTATACTGCACTCTCAAAGCTGCGACCTAAAAATTCATATACCTCAGTATATTTTTACATTACTTCAGTGTTCAGCACATTCTCTAGGCTGAGGGTCAACTATACGACCATTATGGTGTGAAACCCTACGTTCACAACAGGGATCACTATCTGTATACACATCATTAATTCATAATTCAAGAACAACTATGGCCCAATCTTCTGGGGTTGGTATCTCCCTTAACAGATTTAAGTTAGTTAATGGAGGATCCACTGTAATGAAACAGCACAGAGAAAGGACCATACTTAGTACAGATAATGCACACCGCTCCCTCTTTCTGAAAGCTGTAATAATATGGGAAAGAAGTGCTAGTACAAGTTCACCCTGAAGCCAGGAACACCAGCACCAAGTTCTATGCATATAACAGAATCTTCACTTTAAGCACATGTTCATGAGAGTCCTGTAAGAGAGTTAGTAATGACATACAGTGCAAGCTGAAGTGTTTACCAGCAGGCTGTCTGCAGCATTTCACCAGACAAAAAGAAATTTGTAAGCTTTGTTCATACCAACTTCTTGGTGGCACTGTTAATACTTTCAGCATATAACATCCTACAGGATTATCACAACAATTTCTTCTATGTGTACGTTAAATCCCACCAGTACTACCCCTACTTCTAAGCAAGTAGCCTCTTACTATGAAAGTTAAACATTTCTGGCCAAATACAAGCATTTCTGCTGCTAATCCTGCACCAGAGAACTATAAGGCTTATTTTGGACTTTATCCATCATCTGGTATATGTAAGACAAAAAACCACAACGTTTCAGAGACTGGATCTGTCTCCGTCCTCAGGTGGATGGGGCAGGATAGACCTACTCAGTTAGGGACCCATTAGAAAGAGCTAGTCTCAATCACTGGACCTAGCTCTTTCAAACAGGCCCAACTGAGCAGATCTATCCTGCCCCAACCACCTGAGGAGGGAGACAGATTCAGTCTCCGAAACGTTGTGGGTTTTTGTCTTATATATACCAGATGATGGATAAAGTCCAAAATAAGCCTTATAGTTCTGTACAGCAAACACCATCATCAGAATCCTCTCAAGTCTAATCCTGCATTACTACACAGTCGCTAACAGTAAATGGATTTCATATTTATAATCTACTCTAGTAAAAGAAATCCGCACGTGTTAGATCTTGTACAGTTGTAAGTCTACATAAAACCTTGCTGTGAATATTATGCACTTTTAACACATCCAAATGAAAGTGCTCTACATGTATAATAAATTCTGGTAGTTATTCTACAATTCTAGCATTTTATTCGGTAGATGAATACATGGCATACAGGCAAGCATAATACATTATTGTTGTCTTTCCAAGATTATGTATTATCTAGATTTGTTATATGACTGCTTTTTATTTTATTATTGTATTTTTCATTTTATAATTCTTGAATATTTTAATTGTTGAGATTAGATTGCATTTTGCAACGTCATTTTGCTGACGAATTCAATATCCGGTCCGGTTTCCAGACAATGGATCTGTGAAATTATGTATCTATGTATGTATGTATACTAAGCTTTTGTTTTGGCATCTACCCCATTAAAGGGGTTCTAGGTTCATAATAATTTATGCTGGTGTTGCTCTAATTTGTAAGCAGCCACACACAGAAAATGTTCCATAATACTAACCTACCTAAATAAAAAAATAATAGGTAAAATTCTACCTCTATCTTCCAAGTATCATCTCACCATAAATCAATCTCTAGTCATAATAAACCCTTCTAGTGACATCCTAGATTTCAAATACATGTAGATTTGAAAAGGCTTCTGACACTGGTGTGTAACACTCAGAATTACTGAATTTGTTTATCTTTTCCATCATCTGGCATTCTACAAACTAGTCTCTAGAACACCACACAATGGAAAAAGTCCAAAAACCCAGCAATTCAAATTACATACTCATCACAAATGTTCCACATTTCTAAGCAACCTGAAAAAAAAAAAGTTCTACACTTTAACAAATTCTCTATGTCCAAGATCTCTTAAGTACCACCTACTGTTAATGTTCTACATTTCTAATCTATACCAACAAACATGTTCTAACTTCATAATAAATCCTAATGGTGATACCCTGGGTTCTCAAGTTACCACTTGCTGTAACATGTTCAATTTCAATTCGTCATATTAACACGACTATAACACTGTCGACTGCGCCACTAAGCAACACAAGCACAGTGAGGTTAACAGATCAGTTTTGCCAAGTTAGCTGCAAACAGTCACTAGTCACTACCCAAGCCAAGGACAACAGAAGGGCTGACTCACCTTCCCGGGCAGCGGGCCGCTCCGACGGCGTCACTGCCTTGGTGGAAGGTTTGCGAGTGGCTGGAGGTGACCAATCACGGCATGTAGACGTGGTAGGAGTAGGGTAAGGTGGAAGAGACAAAGAAACAGATTGTGGTCATCACATGCAGCACATGCCAAGAGCCACATTCCACATGCCATAGCAGTGGGTTGCCCCAGTGCCAGACCATTCAGGAATGCACCCCTGTTGCAAACACCCTACCACAATCAGTGCTTGCACAACTACAGTGAAACTGCAACCTAATATTCTTTTCAAAGAAACTAAATTTAATTCAACTAAATATTCTTAAAAGAATCCCTCATATTTTTCATGGATATGCTCCCACCCCCTTCAGCGAGTGATGTTCCAATTCCTGAGTGTTCAAGAATTAAACATTTCTATGAAGGTCAGTCAGAAAGTAAGCTTACAAGGCATATGGTTTGAGGCTGTTTATTATACAATACATAATCCCTAACATGAAGAATGCATGGTAATTCTACTGTCATCTCACAACTTTATTGACACAGTCTCAATAAAAACTGAGGCATCTGTGTCATGGGACAAATTTTTCCATTCCCTGTTAGTAGAACTACATATCCGTTTAGTTCTGCCATCATTTCACCGCTGTTTCCATCCTGTCACTGCGAGCACACGATACCATAGCTAGTTGAGGCACTATGATACAAGCCACAAGGCTGCTGGTTTGATTCCTGATGAGGTCATTGGATTTTTCATCTAATCCTTCCAGCTGCACTATGGCCACAGGGTCAACTCAGCCTCTAACAGAAATGATAACCACATATCTTCATGGGGGTAAAAGGTGGCCAGTGCATAAGGCTGACAACCTCACAGCCATCCGTGAACTGAAGGTATAGAAATATATGGGAGCCTCGACGTCTCACAACACTATGGGCCTCCATGGCCTGTTACAGGGCTAACTTTTGTTTAACTTTCCATCCTGTCTTCACTTTGAAACCTATGGCCTCCAAGATATTCTTCAGCACTTCAGAAAGTTGGCAGTCACTAGGTGACAGGTCAGGTCTACATGGAGGAGGCTCCAATATATCCCACTGGAAGCACTGCAAAACTTTTTTGGGCTGCCACTGTAGTGCAGCCATGCACTGTAGTACATAAGCAGAACACATTTCCAGTAAGGTCTGGAATGTTTTTGTTTAATGGCCAGGTATAAATTTGTCAGTGCTGCAGAATATGTCACTATTGATTGGTGTGCCTTATGCACATCTGTGATCCCAAAACAATGCAGCCAATCACTTTGCCAGCAGATCTCATAATCTTGAACTTCTCTGATCATAAAGAAGTGGGGAGTTTCCATCCCCTCTCAGTGCGTTTTGTCTCTGTTGTGTGATGATGAACCCATGTCTTGTCTCCTGTGACAATGTGCTCAAGAAATTCTTGACCACTGACAGAGTACTGCTGCAAAAATGACTGGATACAAGACTTCATTCTTTCTGTTAATCTTCCATTAGTGCTCAAGGCACCCAACATGCAAACACTTTGTTAAACCCTACGTTCTGAAACATGATGACAAGTGCTCCATGCGACAGATTCAAGTCACGTTGCACTTCCCTCACTGCTGGTATGCCATTCTTTTATAAGTCTCCACACTAACCCTTATGCCTTAAAATTCCACATATAATTTTGCTAACTCTACCAATTTATAAAATCTTCGCCATAAACCTCCACAAGCTGGTTATTTCTGCTGGTAATGCACTTTTTGCATTAGAAAACATAATTACTTCATACTTGGACCACTGTTTAAGTCTAGCAGCCATGTTCAACTGACTCACACACACAGTTAAGTGGTAATGGGAAGTCAAATTGCAATGTCTCCAACAATGATTAACAATATCCACAATAAGAGTAGGCCATCTAGCTGTGAGATTACACATACTGTAAATTTACTTTCTGACTGCCCTCATAGAAGAATCTTGTGGAACAACTATAATTCCTTTTAGACTTATGGGAGAAGCATGTATATAAAAAAGGAACATCAGTCTCCCAACTGTACTCTACATGCAAAGGATGTGGAATGGACAGAACTGCCTTTTCATACGCGATGCTCTCTGCATTTTAAGTATGGAACGGTATACAGACTAGATCAACTGCAAGCTGACAAGCAAGGATTATAGTCAGTAGGTGATCCAATGAAGTTAAATGACTAAATGACCAGCTGTGAGATGGACTAGGTGGTGAGATCTAGCTCGAGAAATACAGAGGAAAGTTTGGAGAACAATGGATACAGATAACAGAGGAGAATTTATTGGGGGACAGAGAAGAATGGAGGAACGTCTGTCATAAGGTTACGCTGTGACATGTGAAGTTTTATTGTGAAATATATGAAGAATGTGCAAGTAATGGCAGAAGCCACTCCATATTTTTTTCTAATGCTGTTTCTCATAAATGGAAGGAAAACTAGATCCAGCAGTGTCCACATATTTTTGTAATCTGGATAGCATATTTTTGAGGGACTACATTTCAGAATTCACTTTTTATTGTTAAGAACATCTTAAATTTCATTTAAGTTCATCAACAATCTTGAGAAGTAAGCGGCACGGCAACAACTGGGTGTCTAGCGAACCATCCACTGTCGGAAGAAGTGGTTTTATTGCCATATAAGAACAGTTACTGCATGACAGAGCACAGATCCCACTGCATACAACTGTATCTTCCCACTATTAAATGGCAAACCACCAATATTTCTTCATAAAATTTTAATGCAATGTTTACCATTTTTCTGCTTTTATTTACTTGCACGAAAAGATGATAGCAGGAGTTTCGTCACACATGTGAAATAATGGTTGCCACATCAGTGGTGTTGGCAGTTTTGACCTCTGAGCTGTGTGAAGCAGAACCTCAGTGTGAGTCACGGACAAGAAGTGCTGTGAAAGGCTCTGTACAGTACACTCCAAATAAAATTAAACATTACCATGGTATATAACAAAGGAAAGTCAATTTAATTGCATTACACACCACTAGAAAATTAACACTGCACGGAATATCAATTAATTTATCTTCTTCACAACTGCCTTTAGTCCTCTTCCAGTTCTTCCACTCGTGATAGGCCATCGTTTTCTGACATGTCACTTGACTCATCAGTGTCGTCACTGTTGTCCACTCCGTTATCTTCAATCATAATATGTTCACTAGTCTTCAATTATGTCTTTTTGCTCATAACAAAGTTGTTCTAATTTTTCCACATATATTCGCTCAGTCCTTTTGCCCAATATCTTTGAATTTCTGACAACACAGCTGCTCAACATCCTTAATTTTAAATGCTGTATTCTTGCTTGCAACCCACTGTTTTATATCTCCCCAAATAAGTTCAGTGGGGTTTGTATCAGGATAATATTACAGAAGTCTAAACACAGAATGTTCTCTGTCTCCTAACATCTGCTCAATCACAGAATATTTGTGTTCTGGCTTATTTAACTTCATTAAATAGTACAAGTAAGTTCCCAACATGTTGTTACAAAACTGGATGTTTCTTTCCAATCGCCAGGCTTTCATTCTTTACTGCTTTGTGTCTGCTGTCATTGGAATCTCTCTCTGAATGTTATGATGTGGCACTGTCAATCACTAGAATGGAATTTTGTGGAAAAATCGGTATTAGTATTATTTATAACCAATGGGCATAATTTTTACTGTCTACTTTGTTGTGATAATCTCTGATTTTCTGCCTAAATTTATATATATGAGAAGTACATATGAAATTAAGCCTATCTTCCTCCAGCATGAGTAATGACACCTGTCACCTTTTGAAGCTGGTGCCAACAAACTGGAATCATCATCAGTCCAATTCTTCAGTCTGGCATGAATGTCATGGATGTAAGTCTGATCTTCAAACAAGACTGGGTGGCTGTCAACTTTGTACTTTCTGGGTGGAGTCAGGTACAATATGCACAGAATGTATACAGTTCCCTTCACTGAGGACTCTTGTGTGTCCTGATCCTCTTCCACCTAAAACTGAGGTCTCTACAAATTCTTCAGAGGCCTAAACAACCTCCTTTAAAATCAAAGCTCTCTTTCAGTTTTATGATTCAACAATTGCTGGAAGAGTTTCCTCCTGTACATACACACTGTAGATGGTGCACCAAACAAGACATTAATCAATGTTATTTCAGTTATTCACTTAGGGACACTGTGCTTCTTGGCAGGCAATGATTTTCGTGTTCTACAAACTCTCTCAGAATTCTTCTAATTGTCCTTTCAGACACCCCAGCAGCTTCCACCACTCTCTTCTACAGTTTTCCTATTTCTTTAAAGCCACTGTATCTTTACTTCTTGGCCTCTCTTTTCTTAAAACGACATATGTCTGTGACAATTTCTTGCCTCTGAATGTGTAATGAACAGAAGGGATGTTGTTAACACAGCATTCAGAAGAAAATATCAGTCCTCCACATTGCTGCAATGTCACAGACCGTACTGGCAAGCCAAAACACGTAGCAAATAGGGCACAGATCCCACTGCATACAACTGTATCTTCCCACTATTAAATGGCAAACCACCAATATTTCTTCATAAAATTTTAATGCAATGTTTACCATTTTTCTGTGCTTAATTTTTCTGCTTTTATTTACTTGCACGACAAAAATTTTGTACAGATTCACTTGCCCATTGTCACATCTTAGAACAAGACATACACAACATCTGCAGATGCGTTAAACTGAGACTGCACTACATGGTTAAGCAAAAATTCAATTCCCACAATTATCATTGAGTTGTCTCTCATAACTGCAGATAAAACATATTGAAAAAAGGGAAAACATAGGAGTGTCTGGTTAGGAAAGGATGAAAGGAGACACATGCATTGCATACATATATGAACAATATAACATAAATTAATAATTAACAAAATGATATTAATACCCATGCAGAATGGAGGTAAATCATCTTCAAAATTGGATCAAAGGCTATGGTATAGTAATGAAAAATAATCTCAAAACATAAAACTACATAAAACAAGCATAATAATTTATATTAAATTAACTGAAAGAAATGAAGCAAAAGAAAAACACCTTTCATGTTATAATTAAGAACATAATAAATAAATCCAATTACTGATGTATTCTAAACATACTGCTCTATTCATCACAATGCCAGTGCAGTTCCAGTCTGTCTTCTTGTTCGGAACAAAGCACACAAAAGTGCAGTGCGTCACAACAAGAAACTACTATATTAGCTTGCTCCTCAAATCAAGCTAGTTCAGGTATTACTGTCCTGTCATGATAATTAAAACAAATGCAGGCATTCACCTTTAACCTTCCATTTCCACAGATAAAAAGCAGACATTTGGTACAAAGTTGCCAGGAAGCATCAGAACATGCAATTGCAGTATCTCACCTTCTCGTGTTTCAGCCTCCTTCTCACCATTCAGCTGCGCCTGTTCTGCTTCTGGTGATACTTCACCATCAATCCTTTAAGCAATAAACATGTTATATTGAATTACAGTTAAATATTTATCAAATATTCTCTGTGATATTGGTACTGTGTCAGAGCCTGTCATCTGCTAAAACTGAGTCAGGACTCCAGAAATATGACCTACATTCCACCTACTTAGCAAAATATTCAATGCCATAGGCTCTTAATGTTCTTAGTGGTTTTACACTGATTCCATGTAGCTAACACTGAAAATATGAAACACCAGCAATGTATAGCAATGTGAAGAGAAACAGAAAACACTTATTCTTGGGTTCCAGATGCTAATAAAATCTGTACACTTCCATATTCTTGTTTGGCAGACAAAAATTAAAAATAAAAGCATATGGGTACAAGGACTATTAATATGTTTGCTGTAACCATATAATTTAAGAATATTTCCATCTGCAATGGGAATCTCTAATTTACTCTGGGTTCATATTACAGTCACAGGTGATAGTCCTATGTGTAATTTGTTCATCTCAATTTTTTTCTAGTGTGAGCCCTCTGGTGGGTCTGGTGGTATGTAAGGAAACCTTTGTCACATGACAGACAATAACATAAGACAATTATTTAACAAATGCTCAGCCTTGTTCTCTTACTTTTGAAGGGTGGGCACATGCATACCTGCACAAGCACACATCCATTTCCACCAAAACAATAAAGAATGAAGGCAAAAATATAAGGCATAAAAAGCAATTCCACTGACCTCTCGCTTGGCTGATCATCTGGCGAGCTAGGAGGGGGTGTCTGTTTGGCAGCCAGTTCTTCCTGACGTTTCCGCTCTTCTTCCTCTTGTCTTCGCTTTAGTTCTTTCAACTCAAACTGCAAACGCAAATTAAGTCTTAGTTACAATCATGGACTGCAACAGAGTTACACCATGATAAGTTGGGTCTTGCAAGACTACAGATCTTATGTACTGTAACAGCAGACCCCTTGCCGAGTAACAGCTATATAAACAGGTGACAATACAACAGCTGCAGCTAGGGAATAGCTCTGTGGACATGGTGTTTTACCCCCAGCAACGAGAGAACACAAAATAAAGGAAGAGATGTTTTCTGTGTGGTCCATGCCTGAGCTACATGGGGACAGTTTATTGCAATTGTGAGAAGTGAGAAGCTGACAGGTTTAACCTCTAACTTCTTTAATCCTTTCCTGTCATATGTCAACATATAATTGACACTGAGAATGTGCTTCCAAGTTTCTCCGATAATGTCGGTTGTACGTCGCTCTTTGCCACTGTATACTACACTACTGCAATCATGAATGTTCAGTCTGCATTCTTCTGCCATCTGGAAGTCATAATTTGAATTATTTGAGGAACAAATGCCTTTTATATATTACTGTGTATAGATGTTAGCAACATAGCTTCACATTCGGGAACACGTGTGCCTTCTGGCATGAAAAAACTGTGTTGAGAACAAAGAGTCAGTTATTGCTTTGTTAAATGAAGAACTCGATATAGACTCCAATGGTCAGATGGATTTGGAAAATGTAGAAGAAATTCCGAGTAAAGAATCCAACGACGAAATGTCGGAAAGCGAGAATGAGAGTGAAACAAGCATTATGCGTGTTGATGGGTGGAAAGACATGGCAATGGGGGACAAGAAACCCAAGGCAGGGCCACAATTTAACCTTCTACCAGACGCAGAGCACATGGATTATTTTAGGTTATTTTTCAATGACAAGCTTCTGAATAACATTGTTATATAGACAAACAGGCATGTGAGACACAAAATTTCGGGAACTTCAACTTAGCCTGAGGTCCATTTGGAGTAGCTGGTCTGATATGTGAGTTCCTTAAATGAAGGCGTTTTTAGGCCTAATTATAAATATGGGCCTAATGTCATTACCCAACATAAAAGACTATTGGTCAAGTGAGTGGGCAACACAGATACCATTTTTTGGTGATGTACTGTCTACAGTTCACGTTTTGAAGATATTTTGGATGATTCACGTGGGAAATAATACCTCCAAAGAAAGCAATCAGGCCATCAAAAGAACAAGGATAGTACATGGGGTGATAGAATATAATGAGAAAAAGAAACAGAAATATTTTGTGCCAGGTAAAAACACCGCAACAGATGAATCAGCAGTTGGGTTCAAGGGCAAAATCATTTTCAAAACCTGCATCTGTGGTCTAGTGGTCAGAGTTCCTGGCTACAGANACTCAGCCTCATAAAGATAACTGAGGAGCCATTTCCAGGAAATAGCGGCTCCAGTCTAGAAAACTGAAATTAACAGCCATGGGGATTCACTGTGCTGACCATGTGACACCCTCTACCCGCTAAAGTTGACACCAATTTCGCCAACAAGCGGCAGTTGCTCAGTCGGTATAGTTTGCTTGTGGACTAAAACCATGGAGTTTGTTTTGTTATAATAATAAAAAAAAACAATGAAGTGGGGCATCAGATTATTTGTATTAGCTGACAGTGACACTGGTCATGTTCACAATATATTTCCATATTATGGAAAAATTACTGGTGACGTAACTTGCCATACATAGAAAAACCTTTCACTTCAAGAATAGTTCTTTCCTTGGACAGACTAAATCTCAGTGTATCTGGTGTTGAAGGTTACCACCGTTTCACTGACAGATATTACAGTAGTGTTCAATTGGCCCAAGAATTGGATAATCGAAAATGCCACACAACAGACACTATTACTGCTGGTAGAGTTGGAAATCCAAAACCGCTGAGGAAGGGGGCCATGAAGAGAATGAAGAGTGGGGACACTTTTGCCTATAGAAGAGGGAATGTCCTGCTAATGGGCTGGAAAAACAAGAGGGTTGTTCTCATTTGTCTACATATCATGACACTTCAATGGAAAAAATAGTGACCATTCGGAAAGAGGGGCAGAAGAAAAAATTCAAAAGCCAATGTGCGTACTAAACTATGTAGATCACAGTGTTCATTACTGCTTTCATTCATAAATCTCTGAAGTGGTGGAGAATACTTTTTTCCTGGTGTCTGGAAGTATGCACTGTAAATTCATACTTTGTACAGCAGCTGTAAGGCACACATGGCAGTGAAACCACATGTCAAGTGTCAACAACCTCTTGTTGAAAATCTAGTAGGCTGCTGACCACTTAAAAAAAAACCCCTGTATAAATCAACCGCCATGTTTGAAAACTTATCACACTCTCAAGAACTTCTAACAAGCACAAAGTGTAGGTAGAGGTCTGCTTGGGGAAACGACTGTTAATTACCACAAGCTTTACTGACATACCACCTGCAAGACCAACATGCAGAAAGAATGTGAACTACTCCCCTGCTCTATCAGCAAGTATTTATATATCTTTTCAGCCACACCCTCCACTCCCCTCCATTCACTGGCACGCCCTGCTATCCTAAGCTCCTATTAATGTCATTAATTCCCCTTATTAACTACACAGACAGTTTGGTTGGGTAATAACATGCTGTTACATCTCTAAACTTATGCCTGGCCTTCAATCTTACTTGGTACAGGCAGCATACTATGAATGGGTGTTCACTAGTGTCATTTAATATCATAAAAATCAACAATTCCAGTACACAGTGATCAGCATTTTTCCACAGAACCAAGTTCACTTTACTGTGCAGACAAAACTAGATGGGCTTACAGCAGTATATGGGCCATTACTGGACAGAGGAGTAAAGAGGACATGAGACACTGGTTTGAAGCATGCTCATATCAAGAAAAAATTAGACAATCAGTATTCAAGCAGATGATTATATTGGGTTCTTACCTGATGTGTATGTGGAACAGATGAACTGCTATCACTTGAACTGGATAAACTACCACTTGTATGCATATCTCTCTGACCCCCACTCCATTTCCATACTTTGGAATCCAATGAATCTTGAGAATATTCCCTACTGTTATCACAATTTGAGGAATTAACTTGAAATCTCAACAATGACTTCAATGATTTTGGTGACTCCACTGTTAAGTTGGTAGGTTCATTTTCACCCTCATCAAAACGTGGCAATGTGGAGCCATGGCTGTGCTGGAGACTGGATTGTGAGGACCACAAGGATACAAGGTCATGTTCAGTTGGCAACACACTGGGCGATAGTGTGGAATCAAGGAGACAACGTTCTGCCTGTATTTTAGACCCAGGAGAAAGTCTGGAATTCTCAGAGTTTTCAGAATATTTGAACACCATTTTCTCTTCTGGACTTGGGAGCAATACTGAATGAAAACTGGGTTCAAACACGGGTGACTCTACATCAGGACTTTCAGGTCCATGCCGCCAGTCAGAGTCCCAAAGAAATGATCGCATTTTCTTCCTCTGTTTGGGTCCCCCAACATTATGATATATGAGCTTAGTTCCAGTGGATGTATATTCCCGTCTATGTCGCCTCCTGTTTGGATTGTAAAACCTTTCACTGTCTATAAGAATTGCTCTTATTATATCTTCTGGAGGTCTGCAATAACACTTTTGGCGTTTTACTTGGGCTGGAATATTTTGGCATGAGAAGAGCTGAAAAGGCTCAATGGTTGGTAAACCTGTATTCATTCCACCATCATGCAGGGGTGCCAAAGGGTACAGCTTCACCAGGCCCCTTCCATCACCACAACCAAGAGCAGAAACAGAAGTGTAACGCTTCTCATGCTATTAAAACACATTTAATACAGATTACACAGAGACATGCGCATATCCCACAATAACATGCACACATTACTATCAGCTAACACACAACACAAACCAGAAGTCTGAGCACACAGCAATGAAACACACTACCAGTTTATGACTGTTTTCCTCAATAACATGTAATTCCTGGGTTCCTATACCTAATTCAATTAATTTTACATTCATAAAATTAATATTAACTGAAAATATGAAACAAAATGTGGATTGATATGTGGGCATTCACAGTTAAGGTTTCAATTTTGAAAATATACTATAAGAGAAAAAACCAAGATCAAATGCAATCAGTACTGAATATGTATCTTAAACACACAAAAAATTTTGGTGTATGCATATATCACCTACCTACCTACCAACATCACTGTTCTTGCAAAAATTTCTGGAAGATGTCTTTAATTAAGATGGAAATGAGTGTTTCAGTCCAATATATAAGGAAGTAGGCATCAGAGGTACTTGATAAATTCTTTCAGTTCTGTTTAATCCTACTGGATTGAGTCTATCTGGATCCTTGTACATCATGAAACATTGTGGCCAAAGAACCTGCATCATCTGGAAGGACATTGGGTCAAACCACATTCCAAATCTTATGAAGAGGGAGAAACAACCTTTCACTGGAAGAGTCATTGAAACTCATTACCCATGCACCAGAGGGAAAGAGGAATGTTCTGTAGCATACAAACACACTTCAAAGCACTAATTAAAGGGACCTTTTCTGTTTAGCCTAAACTACAATTTACCATCTTCACTTGTTCCAGTTTGATAAATCAAAACTTTGCATCAGTACCACAACTGCCACTGGCTTTCCTTCTGTATATATACTATCAATTCCACCATCTTGCATTTTCATCCTGATGATGGTGAAAAATTAGAAATTCCTCTGAACATTGTATGAAGTTATAACCCAAGAAAACTTGACAATTAAATCTTATTCTGCTTCTGAAGTTTCTTAAGTTCTTAAATCACAAACTCTACAAGTAGCATGCAAAAATTTTTCCAGTTTCAGGTCACCGTGATTTAGTGCAGACTGTTCAGTTTCTACTTTCCTCCCTTCTCTACTGGGAAAGCCCGAATAAAGGCCGCAGGTCCCCAGTGCCAACCACCATCCCATCCTTACTGTCATCTTATCACACCAAGCAAAATGAAATTCCCACTCCGAGGGAACCTGCACACATGTGCATCTGAGTGAGTGACACAGAGAGGATTCCAACATATGTCTAGCAGTCAGTGAGAGAGCAAGCTAGTCTACACAAAACATGGAAAATTGCACTGAGATGAACTACTGAGTGAATGCTGATGATTTTTCAGTGGAAGTGTAAAAATAACCACCTATACTTTTCTCTCATGGAAAGAGGAGTACTACAAAATATTGTCTAATGCAATGGAGGTGTGAAGTCTAAATTACACAGTGACTTCTTCAGGAGAATCACAAGCATAACTCTTTTGTCCTCACACATAATCACCACAAGTACTCTGTAATTTTCCTGCACTTCCATTATAGAATCTTCATGTTAAAGTTTGGAGAATAATACAATATTATTAGGGTGTAAGATGAATCTACTCATCTAGCAAAAAAACAGGAAATCAAATAAATGAGAATAACTGGATGGTATCTAAATTATTCCTCAAAAGAATATTAATAAGGAACGGAAAAATGTGAATGAGGAAATAAAATAAATGGCAATTATCAGAACAGAAATACTACTGTCACAAATATGTTCTGAGGGTAATGTAAATTATATGGCCATACAGTTACTCTACACAAACAACCCCAGCGAGGAAACTACAGAGCAACTTACAGATTCGCACACTTTCACACAACAAAATCAAAAGAACCATACCTTTTGGTTGCATAGCTTTAATATATATTGCCTCTAAAGAATTATGGAATGAAAAAATGAATTATAATTCTACAAGGCTACCAAAATGAATGAATGTAAATATGATCACATACCTTCAATTTACTAATTATGCAAACAGCAATTACAACTACAATACTGTGTTCAAGTCATATACAAGCATGTAATTCAACATGAACTTTCTACACTACACCAACATGTATTTCACATGAAAGAAAAGGTGGGCACTTACTGTTGTGAGCCGCTCCAATGCTCCAAATCTCTCTTCCTGAGCAGCTGCAGATTTTTCAAAAGCTTCATGCTTTTTAATTAGGTTCTCAACCTCATCAATTGTATGCTGAAAGAAATAACAAATATATAAAAAAGGTTCCAAAATTCAGGTAGTCTGGGAAGATTAGTTTCTGCTTCTTCACTTATAAAATAAATCTCTTTATACCATCAACTTAAGTTGTGATCAAAAAATGTTTACACTGGATGCAATGTAATACACAACAGAGTACACGGCTTTCTTGCTAGCTGGTGATGAAATACAATTTGATGAATCATTTACTTAATTTCAACACTGTATGATGTATTATTCAGAAGTGATGAAATGCTACCCATGTGTAGTGCTACTGGCAATTTCTTTCAATCGAAATGTAAAAGGGCAAAGGGTGTTCAACGAAATGTTTCACACTAGGTAAACTGTTACAGAAATGGATCCATGGATTTCAACACCTCATTGGCTTTCAAATATCAAAATTGAAACTACTTCTGCTGAATGTTTTGGGAATAATTTTTGAGAACTGATGAAATGTGCATTAGAGATCCTTCTAAACAAACTGTGAATTAACAGTTCTGCACAGATGGTCCACATGACCTACTGGGAGAGATGCAGTAAGAACAGTCTAAGACATAACACACTGAAGCCTAGATTCTCCAATATAACAATGGTCCTGCTGGGATTTCTGGCTAGAAACCACATGATTATTGTTGCCCACCCTTCATATTCCACAAATCTAGCTCAACGTGACTTTTTCCTGTTTGCTACTTTCAGGCCAATAGCAAACTGGATGAGACTTAAAAATATCATGCAGTCAAATGAAAACTGCACACTACACTTGTGCACACATTTCAAGACGTGCTCGCCACACTAGCAGAATCAATGTTATCTGATCACAGGGGAAGTAAATGGAAGGGGACAACATGAACACCTACTGTGTGTGTTAATATACAGGAAAAAAGTTTTGAAATGGTCTGAACGCACCTCATATACTGTTCAACACACAAAGCTGTAACGTGAATTTCGCCACTGCCTCAACCATCGCATTAAACTGATTATCAAAATGCTTCTTGAAACCCAAATGTCCTCAGAATGTACCTTGTCATCCAAAATCTATTAATACTTAGTGTATTGCACTTTGAGGTGTTTAAAATGATTACTCAAAAATACTTTTCCTCAAAACTAAAAAAAAACCTGTCCTGAGATATAATTTTTCATATGACCCAGCAGAGCATTTTGCTTTCTACAGGTTATGGCATCATTTAAAATACTAAGAAAAGAGCAACTTACACCCAGTTCCTGACTCATGAGGTATGGTTCTTGTGCTATCAGCCATGCTTCAGCTACAGCAGCATCACGTGCAAACTGATACACCTCCAGAACTGAAATTCAACAGAAGGAATGGTGTGACTACAATAAGAACTCACATTCAAATACTGTAGCACAGCATCACACATTGAAGGGCAATGAAAAATTAACACATTAACCATGAATAACTGTCCTTCAGACATCACAAATTAGGTCCTCTGGCCTGATTCAATCCACATTTTGGTACAACCCTTCTGATGGGGCTGGCTGATTGCAAATCAATAATGCATGCATTTATGTACATACACAAACACATTAATAACAAACAGTTCTTGTTCCTTATTTTCAGTTTTCGAAATAGTAAACTTCATGAAGTTTCATGTATCAATATTTTCCTTAAAATTCAATAATAATATTCCCAAAAGATGATATTTAGAAAATTATTTGTAATGCACTATCCTTTCGGCATTTCAATCTGGCTGACATGAAGACAGCTACCACCAAATGTCATCTACTTTTTCACATGAATCTATTCAAGTATAGAGTAGGCACACATAACCTCAAAACATCACACAATCATTACTCTGAGTATTTCTAATCAAGTATGAAGTTGCAAACAGAATCTGTAACAGTTTATAATATCTCGCAACAAATTATTCAACATAATTTTATTTTCATACTTTGTAACAAAAGATCTTTATTCCTAGTCAGAAACATGATTATTACTACATCATCTTTCTACTGAACTCAATTTAACCACTGTATACCATTTACATAATGTACTGAACTGTTTTACAAGAATTCTGACACCTGTATATATGTTTCAGCTTAACTGGCAAATTTGTTAGGCCAACAGATTAAAATCAATCTGTCGACTTCAAAATTAAAAATAATGAATGCAGATCATTTAATTATTATATTAGTATAAAATTATATTGTTCTTATTATTCTATTATTGTATCATTGTATTGTCTTATTGTATCGTTGTATTGGATTATAGAGTGTTTTGACTTGTCCTATGTCATGTATAATGATCCATGGATGTGAAGTGAATAAATAAATAAATAAATATTTGTGAGAGGACTGCAATGGCTGACATCAGCCATATTTTTTGAGCTTAAAATCTAACCATTTATTGCATTTGTTTTGATTATAACAGTTGAACAAACAGTGAATGTAATGCATCATGAGGGTTAAGAGCATTTAAAACTTTGTAAATAAGAGAAGAAGAGTGTGATTTCATTTTCTTTAATCTTCATAATCTGAATCAAATGATAAGTAATAATAATTTCTTGCAGCACGATTGTGTCAGTTAAGAAGTTGATGTGCCCCAGTATCATTTACACTGTGTATGAATTTTATTAAAGCTGCATCTAATTAATCAATCTACGCAAGCATTTACCGCCCCCCCTCAAAAAAAAAACATCCTGTCATGAAACAAATTCATTATTTCAGCACAATTTACTTTAAGATAAACCCACACACATGCAGGTACTATCCTACAATGAAGAGAATGCAAGGCGAGGCAAGTTGTGGCTAAAACTGAGTAATGAAAATGCACTGACTGTTGACACACTTTTCAGATAAAAGTGGCAAAAGTACTACATATCCTTCAATGAAGAGATGACAAGCCTTGCCCTCATTCACTGTTCAAGTCAAAAAGATCGTCATTATTTTTGGATGGCTCTTACTACTGACACTCTTATAACAGAACCTGGTACATCCCTAAACATGTAGTAGAATGGCCAATCAGCTCTAGCTACCACTTGCCTCAAATTCTCCTCCTTGAAGAATTGTACCTGTTCTGTGCCCGGATCTTTCCTAAAACAGTTTCTGTTATATAAAAGGATCAGATTTTTTTTATTATAAACCCTAACTTATATAAATACTTCGAGTACATGCATATTTTGCTACATACATCCTTAATAAACTTCATACATCATACAAACATTAACATGGGACTTAACCTTTTACATGACACAAGAAAGTTATGCTGCAAGAAATAAACTTTTGCTTTATTCTAACTTGGGGACACGCAGTAGTGTAGTGGTTGAGGAACTATGCTACAAGCCAAAAGGTCGCGGGTTCAAGTCCTGATGAGGTCATTGGATTTTTTCAGCTGACCTAATCCTTCCAGCCGCACTAGGCCCTGGGGTTTACTCAGCCTCCCAACAGAAATGAGTACCAGAAATTAATTAAATAATTTTCCTGGGGAGTAAAGCACGGCCGGCGCGTAGGGGTGACAACCTTACGGCCATCTTTGAGCCGACTGTCTAGACAATGTGGGACCCTCAACGTCTCACAACCCCATGGGCCTTCACGGTCTGGTACGGGGATAGCTTTTACTTTACTTACTTTTATTCTAACTTATTTAATTCAGACTATATAAAACTAAGAAAATAACATCACACAACTGTTCTACACTGTCAAGGTTCAATATACTGGGAAGAGTTATAAATACCGAATCGGTTGCTTCATGAATTAAACTTTATACAATTGCCCTGAGCAGATACAGTAACAGACACAGGATGCTAAATATATTAAACTGTATACAGTCCAGTAACCACTGCTCGGCAGCCAGGAAGGAAGAAATCAGGTGAAAAAGAATTCTATATTGCAGAAGATATACATGAACTTACTGAGCTGCAAGTTCTCCCAGCGCTCTTCCCAACGATGCAAAAGTGAATTTCGCTGATTTGTCAGAGACACGAGTTTCTCCTTGATTTCATTGGAAGCATAATGATTGCGTGAGAGTAGTTCCTTTCCAAGGGAAATGCAGGCAGTGAAGTTATCTTCACGCGCATCAATTTCAGCTTTCAAGCTCTGGTGGTTATTCATCAGCAACTCCACTCCACTCACATCCCTACCGAAATCCAACAAGAAAACTTAAGAGGTTATGTCTGACCCTTTCAAAATACTAAGCTGCAATATTAACCAGTAATTCAAAGTTGCCAAACAGACAGAACGCTCCATGGCACTCTATCCAGACTCAGGATATTCTGTAATGCATCCATTCACATGGGCAGCATATCAAAAACACCCCTTTCAAATTAAGTGGGCTCAGAATGTGGAAATATTTCAAAATCTCAAGATCAGTTTTTTTTAAACATCATAATACCTTCTTGAACATAATACATACAGCGAAACTTCTCATAAAACCACAGACCACTCCATCCATAAGTGGTTTTTATAGGGGGTTGTCTCTAAATGGGGAATGGTTGAGTCAGAATCTGGGTAGTACAGTACAGTAAACACAATATATATTGTTTGTAACAGCTGCATTGCATGAATTTATTGTATTTAATATTACTTTAGATGAACAGCACAAGCAATAGGTAACTTGGGTCAAAAGTTATACAGTACTGGTCTGCTGGCTTTAAAAACATATCTATGCCAGGAATACACAAATTGAGATGGTCTTTTTAGAGGGGTTTGGTAAAGACTAGGCATGGTCTCTGAATAGGTGGTTGTACTGTACTAAAATGGCCTAAAACACAATCCATGCCATACACATGATCCCTTGGAGGGGATCTTTTAGAGAAGTTTCATTGTATATGACGAAGTAAAAGCAAAACAGATATGACACTATGCCATGAGCAGAAGATAGAATACTCAGACCAAACAAGTCAAATATTTTATCAACACAGACACAGCAGCAACTATAACAATGATTGCAACTGGTCTAAAAGAAATGTATATAAAAATGCTTGCAGTTACGCATATCTATACTACCTAGGTTTCTCAGATGTGTTCATCTGTCTCACTACATCATCCATCCAGAGCATAAGTGTGCGCACCATGTTGAAGAACTTGAACAAATCACCAGTGTCAGCCAGCTTCTGGCGACGTCCATCACACAAGGCCTGCAGATTCGCCCAAGCTGTTACGACCTCTGCTTCACGATTGGTGATCTCCTTTGCTTTGTCACCAGCATAGGAAGCCTGCAGTTTTGCAGATTCCTCCTGAATCTGTTGCACCTGAGAAGTAAATGCAACAATGTTACTTGTACATCATAACCAAGAATTCCGTTTATAAGCAATGTGATCGCGAAGTTTAATCCTGTAAGACATCCGCTACCCATCAGCTAGCCAGTATATCTGTCTGTTGAGATAACACATTCATTTTGCCTGAAACTGAACCAACTCTTTACACAACACCATAAGGAAAACAAACGGTGCTGCGGATGACATGATAGATCATACGTTCAAAACCAAGGAATATTATGGTCAAGTGTTCCAGACTGTAATGCCTAGAGATGCAAGAAGGTTCCAACTATCAGCAAGAAATTGCTGCCTCTGTCTTCATGGATGAAGCAACAAACCCTGTCTATAAAGGTGGAATTATATAGAAAATGATGTGGAATATGATCTCTACAAAATGGGGGGGAATGCATGCACCCACCTTCATTTTTACGTAATCAATTCCGTAAACTAACTGAAACTGTATGCAATATCTTTAAAGTGATGAATTCCAGACAATGGAGTAGGTATAATTTTATAGTAATAAGATGTAATCTACTAACCTGTGACTGCAGAGTCAGCAGATCCTGAAGGAAGGTTTGGTGTTTGCGCTGCAGAGCTGAAACTGAGCCTGCATCACGACCCAACTCATCAGACATAGAGTGCTGCTTCTCCAAAATTCGGCCTAGGACATCCTTGCAGTCATGGAAGAACTTATGCAACTCACGTGATGCAGCTAACATCTATACACAGATAACACATATTTATATTAAAATTGTCTGTACTTGCCTCAGTCATGTTTCTTTCATGCAACTATGCAACTGCTGATTTGATTAGGTCTCAAATATCTGATGGAACTGGTTATCCTGTTTCAATTTTCTATATTTTCTGCATAATTTAATATAAAAGCACCAAAACAGTACCTTAAAATGCACCATGCCCACCTTAACTCACAGCATTCCCTAGCAACTCTTTGTACTCATCACTCCATTTCCAATTCTGATACACTGTAATCTTTGCAGCTGTCACAGCATTGCTAAAATAAACAGAGAAATGTGTTTCTTCATACCTGTGTTCTCGTTTCAATGAGTTCAAGCAGGTCCTGCCAGGCCTCATTGAGCCCATCCTTCCACTCTGCAATTGTGGCAGAATCGGAGTGACTTGCACCAATAAGCTGATCAGCAATTCCATTAACAGCAGCCACCCGCTCACTGCCAATGGCCTCAGTGTCTCGTGCGAATTCCTTAAACCTCTCCCATAATAACTGCATTCAAAATAGAAAATAAATCTTAAAACAAAGCTAATCTTTCCTTATTCTATGCAGAGCAGAAACAGCATGACTTCTCACCGTAACATGATCATAATCTTGTCCCAGTTCATGCGAGCCAGCCACAACTTCCCGCTCTGCAATCCATTGCTCTAAATCATCAACTTCTCGGTTCAACATGAACAACTGGAGGGCTTCATCAAGCTTGGCTCTCCTTTCACCTGCCAGGTCCTTCAAGCCAGCATACAGTTTGTCTACTTGTGACTGCTTCACAGCTATCTGGTCACTACAACACAATTTAATACTTTGCTATAAATCAAACATGGACATCACACAGACTTAACACTGTTGAATTACTGAAAAAACTTTATAACCCTACACCTAGAGGAAAATGTGAAAACAACAGATAGTGGATTATCGAGTTCTGGTGGCAAAAATAAGAGAAATTCAAAAGCAACTTCTGAAGTATAAAGGTTCATTTTGTTGTCAACAAATTTTAAAGCAACATCTATGCCAATCCTATTATACAGGGAAGTTCTTATCCTTGCTGACCTGTTCACAGCGCTGCACTTCATGGCAACCAGTGCACAGCCAGCGGTGAGGAGGATAAGAATTTTGCCAATGAATCAATATGCTTGTTGGCCGATAATGTTCAGAATGATGTAGTTAAATTCACAGATCACACGAGGTGTTGAAAATACTGTCCCTCTACATGTAGACATTCCTAGCACCAGTGGAAGACATTCTGATTTATCCTTTGGTGCTGTCCTCCAGGAACATTTGCAATTTTCCTATGAATATTTTCTTTTAGTTTTTCTCTTTATGGGTTACCGTTGCAATCTTTGTACCTCCAACAACCCCAGAAGAAAAATCACAAGGCGTAAGATCAGGTGAACATGCTGGCCAAATGTCACTGCTGATAATTTTGTCGCCGAAGACATAAGACAAAGCCGGCATAGATATACGCGAAATGTGGGCAGTAGCTGAGTCTTGCTGAAACCAGCAACAATCTTTCTTCTTCTGTTAACTCTGGAGAATTGGCCAAGAATGACTGTATGTATCTTTCGCAATTAACTGTTTCCTTAAAAAACAGATACAACAATCCTTCTTGTGCTTACAGTACACCAGACACTAACTTTCAATGAATGGGGCAGGACTTTGTGTGTTACATCTGGATTCTGTGAACTCTAGTAGTGATTGTTTTGCAATCCCTGCAAATGAAACCATGCTTCATCACAAAAGAATGTCACCTGCAGATCGATCTCACCTTCAATGACAGACTGCAGAAACCAACTGCAAAAATGAACCCTGTTAGCTGGATCGCACAGCTGCAAGGCGTGCACGGATTACTGTTGTTTTATAGGGTCCAAACTTCAGCAATTGTGCTCTCCTTCCTGCACTAGACTTTGACACTCCAGTTTCAGTAATTTTCTAGGTGTATGTTCAAGTTTGGCTCTTATGTCATCTATCTTTTCATCAGTAAGCACTTGACATTTGTGTTTTCTTTTTCCTGTCTATTAAGAGTCCCGCTGATTTAAGTTTATTCGCCAAATTGTGAACTGTCTGTCTGCTGAGAACTCTTTCATCATGAAATTTATGATAAAACTTTCGCCAACGCTTTCTAGCAGATCCGTAATTTACATAGGTATCATATAGAAATACATTGCTCTACAGTACACTGCACCATGACGTAACACACTGCTTACTATCTGTTAACTGAGAACAGCTAATGGAGCTGATAATTGCTGCACACTGCTGACAAATCATAAATGAATTTCCACACATGAACTGCACTGCTTGCCATGAAACATAATGCTGTCAAGCGGTCCACAAAGTTATTAACGTCCCTTCATTTCAAACATTATCAGACATCAGGCATAGTGAGTCACTGGTAAAATTTGTATGCACCTTGCAGCCAGTATTGCACCAGTTGCCATGAACCAGTCAACAAAGGTAAAACCTTCCTTGTATATAAGTGTTGACTACTAAAACCCACTCCATCACAACATTGTCAAAAACGTTATCTCGCCACACCTGCGTTCTGTGTATATCTATTCATAGTTTATTTAATTTAGTAACTCTACTTACAAGGCCACGCCATAGCTCAAGCGGTTAGTCGCTGGCTTCCCACTGCGGCGGCCCCGGTTCGATCCTGGGTCTGGTCAAGTGTGACTTGTGGTGGACAAAGTGGTGGTGGGGCAGGTTTTCTCCGAGTACTTCAGTTTCCCCTGCCAATCTTCATCCAACCAATTGCTTCACAATCACCCTCACCTATCATCTGGCACTGGTACAATAGTCC